TCAACTAAAGGTATAAGAGTATAAATTAAATTACGTACCTCCATGTGGGCGTTACAGCTTGTCTTTTACTTATAAATGTTGTACAGATTTTAGTGAAGCATACCTAGTGTCTACCTTGTGTTCACCTTCATACTTTTCAATTCATTAGAACTCTAATCTAGCGTTAAGACAGATAAAGTAATAAATTTATTTATCACTTATGGTCATACTTCATTATGTCATTATTTTTATCTTGGTTTAGGTGACTTTAAATATTTTAAGCTTGAATCTTTATTATCACGTAGATAATAAGCTTAAAATCGTCTCATCTCCATTCTCACAAAGTAATGGAGGCAATTGCCTGTGTGAGAAGGATAATATGTATCTTTTGGTATAGGCTTTGTAAATGGTTCTGCAACCATGTCTTGCGCAGATATCTACTTCATGTTCACCTACTTTTCTACCACCAAATCTCGCACAAAGTTGTATTTGATATCTATGTGCTTTGTTTTACCATGATATTTGGGATCCTTAGTACATGCTGTACGTTTATGGATCGAGTGAACGCAGCGGAATACAAAAAAATTTCCCGATCCACAACCAAGAACCCTAAGATCTTTATACCTGTTTTATGTTGTTTGCATATCAAATAAACATTAAATAATTAATTTCAAATTTCATACGAGCGTTTGGAGGCTCCATCAAATTGTTTTGAATCGCTTCTAATCTAAGATAGGAATGAACTCCTGGTATCCACACGAAAACAGGACATCGATCACCAAAGGTCTCGGTGTGCTAGCCAAACCCGATTGGATCAAGGATGAAAGGCAAAATTATTCTCTTGAAAAATTCTTCTCCTTCAACTATAGGTGTCCATGGTTTAGGAGAGTGAGAGAGAGATAGAGGGGGCGGCTAGGGTTTTTTTTTAATTGAATTATTTGTTTTTTTTTTTTATTTTTAATTGCACTTTAAATAGTGCACAATCAAAAACCCTAATCTAATATGGAATTGCAATCAACTAATTCCATATTTAGATTAGACATAGTCTAGTACCAAAACAAGGTAATTCCACACATAGTATTTTATTTCAAATTTAAATTTGATATTATATTATCTTTATATATGTGTGTGTGTGTGTGTGTGTGTGTGTGTGTGTGTATACACACATACACACAACCTCACTTATTTTAATTTCCATATGAAATTAAATATAGGCAACGACCTCAGCAAATTTAATTGCACTATGAGATTACCAAAATACCCTTTCATCTTAAAAGACGAAAATATCCTTCTCATTTGTTTATCCTTAATCTATCTTCTATGTGTGCGACTCGAAGGCTCCTCATCATATCGACAGTAGATAGTATCGCGATTGACACTCAATCAGTCATCTCACTAAACACAGACCAAGGTTGTCCTTTAGCAAAGCATCACGGCCACTCGATAGATTCGAATTTAGTGAAACAGCTTACCTATCAACGATATGACTATCGTGCAATCAAATACTTTCATCATACATTATCTCATCAAGGTTGAGGTACAGAAGTAGTGTCAACCTCATATATCTTTGATCTCTTTGTATTCGGTTATTGGGCCAACGATAAGAATAGATTGGACTGAGCTACAACTCAATCCCACTATGGCCACATATTTAGTGTCATTGCCATTTACTGAATTGTTTAGTGAGATAATTTCTCTTGAACCTGGGAGTGGTGAATCCTTTGTTAATCTACCATAGTCTTGATACACTTCTCGATGTAGCCAATCACTATCGTTATGATAGATCTAAATAGAACTACGTTGGGCTAGTGTCAAACTTCACCAATTGATGCACAAGGCGCTTTAGTGATCTCAAGTCTAAGGATCACATGCACCACCATCCGTTAAAGGATTTATTCCATAGACACTAGGGTTACCATCTATGTGGAATTCTCTAGTGGGTTTGTCTAGGGAACTCGCCTATGTCAAGCATCCATGTGTTGCACCAGGTTGTCGGCAAACAACCTGAACAAGTGAGATCAGTCACTGCCTTTTGACAAGGTCATTCAACACTATGATAGCCTTACCGTATTATCTATGTCCTTACTCAGAATAATACTAAGGCTATAGACATTTCTAAAATGGCCAGCATATGTGATCATAAGGTCCTCACTATCGAGATTTGAAACACTCGATACCCTTGTCACGGTTCCACCATTCTAAGGACATACATTACGACATACAATAAATATGCATTACATAATGTAGAAAAAGCATTTTATTGATTATAAACATTATTACAAAGAGTCAATATTACAATAATAGAGTGGCTCTAGGGCACCTACTCTAACATATGCTATTGCTGCTTGATGGTCACAGTTTACTCTCAGTGGTTCAATAGCAACATGAATTATTCCCAAATGATTCATGAACCGTCTCAACAAAATAACTTCTTGCACTACAGTTGAAAATGCTACAAACTCATCCTCCATTATAGATAAGGTTATACATGATTGTTTCTTACAAGTCCAAGATATAGCCCCGCCATTTAATAAGAAAACAAATCCAAAATTAGATTTGCTTTCATCTAACTCCCCTCCCCAATCAGCAACAATGTAGCCTCTCAAATGTAAATCATTTCCTTGATAACATAATGAGTAATTAGCTGTTCCTTTCAGATATCTTAAGATTCTCTTCACTGCTTTCTAATGTGCTTGTCTTGAGTCAAACAGATATCTACTTACCAACCTAACATCGTAACAAATATTAGGTCTTGTGCACATCATGACGTACATGAGCTTCCAATAGCACTTGTATAAGGAACATTTCTCATTTGTTCCTTTTCTTGTGGAGTCTTAGGACACAATTTACAGCTCAAAGTCTCACTTTTCGAGATAGAGTTGTCTATGGGTTTGCAATCTTGCATATGAAATCGTTCAATAATTTTCTTAATGTATGGCTCTTGCGAAAGAGACATTAATTACCTTGAGTGGTCTCTTGAAATCTTGACTCTTTGAATTCATTAAGAAACCTCTTGTTATTTCCAACTATAAGTATATCATCAACATATAATAATAATATAACAAATTTGTTAGTGGATCTTTTTGTATACACACAGTGATCTTCTTCAATCATTTTGAAATCATACGACATTATCGTATTATCAAATTGAATGTACCACTATCTTAAAGACTGCTTGAGGCCATAAATTGACTTTAAAAGTCTACACACTTTATGTTCATAACCTTCTCTAATAAAACCTATTTGATGCTCCATATAGATCTCTTCTTGTAATTCTCCATTGAGAAAAATGGTCTTTACATCCATTTGATGCAATTCAAGATCCATGCTAGCAATTATAGCTAGAATAAGTCGAATTGAGGTAAACCTCACAACAGGTGAGAAGGTTTCTTCATAATCTATTCCTTCACGACTAAGCGAGCTTTGTATCTTTCAATACTTCTATAAGCGTTACGCTTGATTTTGAGAACTTATCTCGCCCTTCTTTGGAAAGTTAGTTTCCAAAAATGTGATATCTCGTGATTCAAATTTAGCCTTGTTACCACTTTCTTGTTCTCTTATGAACACGTATCCTTTCGATTGCTCTGAGTATCTTAGGAAGATACATTTTTTCCCCTTGGACCTAATTTTCCATATTTATGGGAAGACTCGTGAACATAGGCAGCACATTCCCATGGCTGTTGAAAATTTAAATCGGGTTTTTGATTTTTTCATAACTCATATGGCGTAGTGATAACTGATTTGGAGGGTACTTTGTTGAGTATGTATATGGTAGTTAATAAGACATCACCCCAAAAGGTGATGGGTAAATTTGCCTATGTCATCATTAATCTCACCATTTCAAGCAAGGTTTCGTTTCTCCTTTCTGAAACACCATTCTGTTGTAGAGTCCTTCGATTAGTTAATTGATGTTCTATTCCCATCTCATCACATAAATCTCTGAATTGATCAAATATCTACTCATGACCTCGATCGATTCTTAAAACTTTTTTTTTTTTTTTATCTAATTGATTCTCAACTAAATTTTATATTTCTTAGAGCAATTTAAAGCTCCAGATTTATAAGAAATAAAAAAGACATAACCGAATCGTGTGTAATCATTTATAAATGTGATGAAATAAATAGTCTCATGCCTTGCCCTCACATTCATTGGACCATAAATGTCATAATGAATCAATTGTAATGGAACTTCAGCTCTTATCGCTTTTCCAAATGCTTTTCTTCTTGTTTTTCTAGCTGGGCAATGCTCACAAGTAGACAATTCTACTTTTTTTTAAGTTTCCTAATAAGCCTTTTCTTGCTAGTATATTCATTCGATGTTGACCAAGATGCCCAAGTCTATCATGCCATACATCATTTCCATCGATATTAGAAGATGTAACAAAGGAAAAACATACATTACTAGAATTGTAATCAACATCCAAAACAATAAAACCATCTAAAAAATATCCACATCCATAATAACTTGTTCCCAAAGACAAGTTAACATCATTGTTTGAAAAGTTCCAATTAAATCCTAATTTAAGTAATACTAACACATAAATCAAAATTCGACGAATATCAAGAGCATATAACACATCATGTAGAAATAGGGTTTGACCTCCACGCATGACTAACTTGCTTGTGCCAATCCTATTAACTTCCTCCTTGGAGTTGTTTCCTACATATATCCATCTTATGCCCTGTGGATCTGTCAAAATTCCACGAAGGAACTCTTGTCCCTTGCTATATGGTTTGTGGTTGCTGAGTCTATAGTCCACAAAGGACGAAATTTAGTTAGAAAAATGGAACTGGCAACATTAAATGTACTTACATGGGCAAACAAGTGTTTTACCTTTTTTGGCTCACTATAATCCCGAGCGTCTCTTTTTGCCATAGTTATAGCATTTGACTTTTGCTATATTCTTCTTTTTGGAAGGACGCTTTCCTTTTCCATGTTGGTAAAACCTTTTTTTCTTATAAGCCTGAGCACTTCCTTTGTTGCCCCTTTGTTGGGACCCACCTTGGAATTTACGTTTAAATCATTTCCCACATTGTGAGTTGGATTCAGTTATATACACATCAGTATTCGCCTTATTATTAGCACTAATGCGATCCTCTTCTAGTCCCAAATGACGCACGACATCTTGTAAAGTTTTGATGACATGATTGTGGGTTAGGTGAATCTTCATATGTTCCCAACCATGGGGCAATGATTGGATAACAACCTGAGCCTGTTGTTCGTCTGTTAGGACATGACCTGCATCTCTCAGTTCATTAATCATGTTTGACATTTGCCTCAAGTGTTGCCTCATTGTATAATTTGGTTGTTTCTTGTAGGTGTCCAACTTGATTGTAAGTGATCGAAGTTTGGTAATGGACGTACCTCCAAACTTTACAACTAGTGCGGACCACATGTCCTTTACTATTTCATACCTTATGTAATCCCTCATTATGTCATCATCCATGCTGATGAACAACGTAATGCAAGCAGTGGAGTTCTTTTTCTTCCAGGTTTCATAAGCTGCACGGTCTCTCCTATGTTGTACTGTGTTTCCGTTCTCATGCTCTTCCGTGGATGTGTTAAGAGCTTCAAGAGTCTCTTGCTCTTCTAATACATATTGTAGTTTCATGCTCCTTATCTCATAATTTTCACTATTCAATTTTACTCTTTTATTAAGTTTGGCAACAATGTTCTTAGATGCAAATGCCATTTCTAAACACACATACATATGGATATTTTCATGTCACTAAATGGTCAGAACATACATCTTATATTGTTAATTAATTATATCAATAATAATTGCACATTAGATTTGGAATCAAAAGTTCAATTTTTTTTTATTTTTTTTAAAACAATCATCATCCAAAATGCTAATCTTTAATTATTGTTAATATAATTAATTGTGTAAGGAATTCTTATAAAGTCACAAAAGACTTAAATTTGTACTCAATGAACATAAAATTCTCATTCCAATGACGAATCAAGTATAATTCGACATATATAAATAAAACAAATTTCATTACATAAAACAAGAACTAACATTTACAAAGAAATTCAAAGGCTCCATAATTAATAATAAATAAAAGAAATTAAATCCTATGTTAGAGTAGGTGCTCTAGAGCCAATCAATTTATTGTAATTGACTCTAATGTATCATGTTTATATATATAAAGGCAGTATTTATATTATGTAATTCGTATGTTGTGTATGTTATAATATATGTCCTTAGAATGGTAGAACCGTGATGAGAGAATCAAGCGTTTTAAGTCTTGATTTTGAGATCCCTATAAGCACGTATGGTGGTCATTCTAGAAGCTTTTATAGCCCTAGTATTATTCTGACCTAGGGCACATATAATATGGTAAGGCTATCACAACGTTAAACTACCCTACTAAAAGGTAGTGACAGGTCTCACATGTCAAAGTTGTTAGGTGACAACCTTGTGTGACACATGGGTGCTTATTGGATGCAAGTTCATGAGACAAACCCAATAGAGGGTTCCATGCAGATGGTAAACCTAGTATCTATAGAACAAATCCTTTTACGGATGGTGGTGCATGTGATCCTAAGACTTGAGATAATTTAAGTGTCGTGTGTACATAATGGTGTGGTTTAACACTAATCCTTTTCAGGGTTACCAGTATGGTGGTGATTGGCTACATCATGAAATATATCAAGGCTATGCTGGATCAACAAAGGATTCATCACTCCTAGTTACAAGAGAATTTATCTCACTGCGCAATTTGGTTATATGGCAGTGACTATAAATCTGTGGCCATAATGGAATTGAGTTGTCGCTCAAATCCAATTTTATTCTGGTCGTTAGTTTGATACCAAACACCAATTACATCAAGGGCATGATCTGAGGATGACACTTAGCTCAACCTTGATGAGATAATGTATGATGAAAGGATTGGATGACATAGTATGTTAGGATATAATCAAAGATATAGGTAGCAGAAAACAAAAATTTACCGATTAAAACTCTAAGCCCAAAATCCGCATATGAGATACATTGTTTACATGTTACAAAACATTAAAAACCCATTCAAGGTTTTAGATTCTTACCCACGTTGATGGCTTTACCGCTCAATTGTTGAAAAACGCTCACACTTCAAGGATAGAAGTGAACCATGATATCCATACAAAGTCAAGAATCAACACGCAATCACTTTGCTAGTTTGATTTGTGATGTTTAAAGAAGAAGGGAGTAAGACAAATCAAGAGAGAAAAATTCTCTCAACTCTCTCTTGGGTGGCAATGAAATAACTATTAGGGAAATTAGGAGAAAAGTGCCTTCTTATAGGCACACCCTAATTTTCCTAATTAGAGTACATTACCAATATACCCTTTCACTAATTAAATAATTAGTTTCTTTGATTTGCGAAGAAAATCCTAACAGAGTATTAGGCCATTGTTATTTTATTAATCTAATAATGATTTTTCAGTATTTAAAACATATATACACCTATATATATATATTTAAATAATAATGTTTTATTTATTTAAAATATATATACGACGATATATATATTTAAATAAATAATCAATCTTACATATTAAATCCAATATGGGATTGGATCCAAACAACAACCTTTCTAGCAAATTTAACTGCTCTGTAAGATTTACCAAAATACCTTTTCATCAAAAAATGACAAAAAGGCCCCTCACTCGCTATCTTCTTTAAATTGCCTTTTAAGTGAGTGACTAGTAGGCTCCTCATCATGTCAGTAGTGAGCAATATCGCGATCAACACCCTATTAATCCTCTCATTACACACTGACCAAGATTGACCTCTAGCAAGGCATCATGGCCACCCAACAAATTCGGATTCATCGTGTTCGCTACCTATCAACAATATGTTTACCATACAATCAAATCATTTCATTATCTATTTTGTCATCAAGGTTTGAAGCATAGAAATAAAGCCAGCTTCAAGTATAAACCTCCTTGACATATTCATATTCGGTTATCGGACTAATCGACCAATCGAGCACCAATTCAATTCCACTATGGCCACAGATTCAAGGTCATTATCTCTTACTGAATATCTCACCGAGATAATTTCTCCTACACCCAGGAATGATGAATCCTTTGTCAATCCACCATAGCCATGATGTACTTCTCAATTCAGCCAATCACTACCATACTGATAACCCTATGATTACCTTTGGTTTGTGTCAAACTACACCAATAGTTGCACACGGTGCTCCAGTGATCTCAAGTCTAAGGACCACATGCGCCACCATCTGTTAGATGATGTATTCCGTGGACATTGGGGTTACCATCTATATGGAATCATCTGATGGGCCACTCTAGTGAACTTGTAAATAACAAGCACCCATGTGTCACACCAAGTTGTCACCAAACAACTTTGACATGTGAGATTTGTCACTACCTTCTGGTAAGGTCGTTCAATGTTATGATAGCCTTACTATATCATTTGTGCCCTAAGTCAAGATAATATTGAGGCTACAGACGTTTCTAGAATGGTCACCATAAGTGATCATAGGGATCTCACAATCAAGACTTATCACTGCTTGATTCACTCGTCACGGTTCAAACCCTTTAAAGGCATATATTAATACATATATATGGAATATGCTTTACATAATATAAACGATGCCTTTTATAGATTAAATAATCATGATCCATAGAATCAATATACAACAATATGATTGGCTCTGGGGAATCTACTCTAACATAGTAACCATACCGTTGACATGTATTAGTTCTTCGTTGATCTCTACTTGTTGGGTGGCCATGACGCCTTGCCAGAAGCCCATCCTAGGCTGTGAATAATGAGATCATTATGGGTGGTTAATCGTGATATTGGTCACTACCAACATGATAGGAGGCCTACGGGTCACACACATAAGGAAAGTTGATTGCGGAATGTATATTTAATCAAAGAAAGGTTAAAGGGTATTTTGGTCTTTTCACATAGACAAGGGTAATTCAGTAATTCTACATGGGTAGGCGCCTATGTGTATTTATTGTGTAATAAATAAATTACCAAGTTAATATTTAATATATTTATTTATTAAATATATTTGTATTAATTGTATTAAATTATATGTTTAATATTAATTGAAAAACTAAATTCCTAATTAGTTGAGTAATATATATTTAAATATATTGATGCTATTAGGAAACCTAATTAATACTATTCTTGTTTGGTTTGGGATTAAAACCAAACAAGGAAAAAGAATAGTATCCTATTCCAAATTGGAATGGGGTTTTAAGTTGCCTATATAAGAACTTAAAATTAGGTTTAAAAAGAGATTATTCATTCAATCGAAATTAAGAACAAAATTGAGAGAGAGAAAAACCCTAGTGCCACTTTCATACCCTCTCTAGCAATTGGGTATCTTTGATTCCTCTGCATTCTCTCTGTGTGGATATCGAAGTGCGATTCTACACTTAAATTGATTTGTGAAGACTAAAGAGAAAGAGCCTCCAAACGATAGTAAGTAATTCGCAAACCTTGTATGTGAATTAACATGGAAATAATTAAATCAATACCCAGATCGTGGGATTAAAGGTTTGATAAAATTTTAAATGAGTATTCCGTTGGGTTTTTAACCATGTTAAACCTAACATCATATACTCCATTATATGGACTGCGAACAACTTATGAAGCCTATCTATAAGGTCCTTATCTAGCTCATAATGGATCTTAGGCAATGGATTTCCTATCATCTTATGGTGTCCCTTACGAGTAGAAACACCAATTGTCCTCTTAGCACCCCAGTTTAAATATTCCTTGTTGAAATTTTCAAATAAGAGTTGATAACCTTTACACTCCATCTTTTTCCATATTAGATCAAGGAAACCAGCAAGACTTGGGTAATTGAGAGTTGTTTGGAGTGCATTAAACTTCATATCCTCCCAAAGTAAACCCCTTTTCCCAAACAATTTCTTATATCATTTTCTTTTCCATTTGGTTCACTAGTCGGACTAACTCATTTTCTTTTCCATTTGGTTCACTAGTCGAACTAACTCATTTTCTTTTCCATTTGGTTCAAACTTATAACCACAAAGTGTCCTCATCATGGTATCCACCTTTTCTCTTTGGTGAGTTGTCCTAATAACCTTTGGAGTTCTTCTAATCAATGCCATGAATTCACTTCCTATAACAAATACAAGAATAAAAAAATTAATTAATATTCTTTTATTTATTTCCAAATAAATAAATATATATTTTACATAGACATAATTGTTTATTTATTAAATAAATTAAAAAATAGCCCCAATTATGACTAAAGAATCCTAAGTTGGTGCTTTGTCTTTTATAGATAATAGGCTCAGTGGGCCAATTGTAAGGCTCTCAACCATGAGGTCCTTGGTTCGAATCTTAGGTGAGCAGGAGACATATATATATATATAGTCTTTTATAGATAATAGGCTCAGTGGGCCAATTGTAAGGCTCTCAACCATGAGGTCCTTGGTTTGAATCTTAGGTGAGCAAGAGACATATATATATATATATGAGGTCCTTGGTTTGAATCTTAGGTGAGCAAGAGACATATAAATATATATATATATATATATATATATAGCCCAAGCCGGTGCCGGGGCTAGCGTCTATTAAGAAGAGGATAACCGGCTTATTTCGCTCTTAAATCCATTTAACCTTTCTCCGGAACGACTTTGAATACCGATATGGGATCACCTTCCCAAATCAACTGCAACTGATTCAAGAACAGC